TAGAACACAAAAGAGCTCAAAATTCCTAGATAACACCGTTAATTCGTACTATATAAGATGACATGAAAGATATACTTATTGTGTACCCATAGACATACACGTATGAATAAATAAAGTTGAATGCACTAGATAACTTCTATTCAAACATATGCTCTATCCAGAACTGCACAATGAAATCTTTTCAAATGTGTGTCAGCATATAGCTAACTTTTATTCAGAAAGCACCAGGTGGTTTCAAAATACCCAAACAAAAAACACAATGTAAATGTCAGGTTTCTGTGATAACGTAAAAGATGGACCATCAACGGTTGCAATCAGATTAGTTTGACGTACAAGAGGTATACCCATGATATTCATCAAGAAACTGGAGCCAACTGAGAGCACAACCGCCTCTACAACGCCAATGCCAGTTGCAAGAGCTAACGAAGTTGATACAGAGGGGAGAATTTTTTTTCCTTGGCGCTTAACTTCACAGTCTTGATCATAAGCATAAGAGCCAAAAATCTTAAGTAAGTCAAAGAAGAGAACAGTCTTTGACGGGTGCCAAAGAGAAATGCACGACATGCATATGCACATGTAAACATACATAAAAAAAAAAAAAAGTATCTAATGAATGCATGTATAGATATGTACGAACACATGTGGGTATGTGTGCACACAGCAGATAGGGAGAACGGATCAACAGATCCCAGGTGGAAGAGTAGAGCCATCAATCACCCCAAATTTAGAGCTTTTTAATGTGATTCAATCCTTTATTAAATTAACCAACAGATTGAATACTGAACATGTCAAACGGTATAAGAAAAACAACAGAGAGTGAAGTGGGAAGGGATCTTTCTTATATAACTTGCATACAATAATTACCATTGCCGCTTTGACTAGAACCCTCGGAGCCCTTACATATGGATGCCTGCTCCTCAGCAACAAAGGATGTCGTAACATTGAGCAATGGAACATTAAATAATTTGGACACCAGATTGAATACAGAAGCTGATATCCCTACTGCAGCTAATTCAACAGATCCTACAGATAATTGAACAAAAAAAATGAAAAAAAAAAGGAAAAAAAAAAAGAAGTACAAAGAAAGAACATTCAATCAAAACTAGTAGCCAAACACGATAAGAACCAAAATCTGGTGCGAATAACAGCATCAATAGTTTCAAAATCCTACAGTCCTTAATCTATCCGTATACTGAGCACTCGTGGGATCAAGTCAATACCACTAGCCATCCTCTCCCAAAAAAAGTCTATCCGCATACTAACAGTTCAAAGACAAATAGAAAGTTCACAGAAAAATGATAAATAAGTGAGTACCCAAATGACCAACATAAGCTGTATCAACCAGCGACGTGAGCGGGTCAGCAGCCAAAGCCAATGCAGCAGGCAATGCGATCGATATAATCTCCAAGCCAAGCTCATCTACTCTAAGACCACCTCTGCAAATACCCAGATGTTTCTCTTCAATAAAATTATAGCAGAATTTATACGTCTAAATTACATAGCACCTAGCACGTATAACAATCAAAAGAAAATAAACCTTAAGCTGCCAGTAAGACGCGAAAGCGAACTAAAGAAAGGCAAGTGAGAAGGCGGGTCCAGTTCCGGGTCAGGATCCTTGACCCGAATAGGTGTAATAGAGGGCTTGATTTGCTGTTTTCGTTGCTGTTGGGAAAAAATTTCGAGGGTGGTGATCTTGACATTGTTGCGAGTTGATGATTTGATTGATTTTCTGAAACGGAAAGAGCAATTAGGGTTTCTGGTAAATGTTTGGAATTTAGATGATGAATAATCCGGCCCGGAGTATGCACGAAATGAGAGATTAGTAGCCATTTTGGCAAGGAGAAAAAGAGGATTCTTCTCTTTCTCCTGGAGGAGAGACTGACCATAACCTTTGTCTGGTTTTATCTGTCAACTGATTAACGGTTGGAGGGGACGGCGGGATCGTGAAAGATATTTTATTGTGTGGAGCTTTCGATTTGGGCCTGTACTTGGGCTTTTGGGTTTTATTTTCGTTTATTTTTTATTTAAAGATTTAATTGTTATTTTGTAATTATTAAACTTAAAAAAAATTCTTCCAATCCATGATCTTCTATAAAATTGTGATAATTTTGATTACAAATTATAAAAATATTTTATGCTTTCTTTACATTTTATTTTTTGTAAAGTTTTAAAATAATAAAATATTAATATTAATATTAACAAACTTAACAAAAAATAATTTATTTATAGGTCAGGCAGGTAATAATAATATATACTAAAGAAAAAAAAATGTAAAAAATAATTAGTTTTTATTTTTTTTAATTGTTAATAATAAGTAAAAATTTATTTTTTATGTCATTCAAATAAAATAATTTCTGTAAAAATTTTATTAAAAAATACATTTACATTAATTTTATAAATTGAAGAATGAATTTGAAACCAAAAAAAAAAATAGAAATAAATTTGAATATAACATATTTTGATAAATTTTAATACAACTCATAGTATATTTTTTGTACTTATATTATTTTCTTTCACTTTTTAAAATTACGAAGGTATTATTTGGATCTCTACTTACTAAAATATGAGTTGAATTCTTGTTAATAATATACTAGAATCCTTTAACCCAAAAAAAAAAAAAAAAAAGTTAAAGTAAAAAGTGATAATTGCATTACAAAATTAAATAGAAAAACAGCTTGGAGAATATAAAGAGAAATGAAAGCTGTAGCAGTAGAAAATTAAGACATTAGAGTATTGTAAATGTACTGGGCCATGAAGAGGTTTGTGCTTCCAATGGCCACAATTTCCTGCTTTTGCTTGCATCTGTTTCCTCCCTCCACCCTCTCTGCTGACAAACTCTAAACCTTTTCTGTAAAAAATATGCTGAGATCCGGACAGTCCTCAACACGTAACTTAAATATCAAGTTTAATTCTCCATTGCCTCAAAGCTCATTTTAGTCATACAAAATTATTAAACGAACACCTTCACCCGTCTTTAATCGTAGCTCTTTATTTACCGTTCGAGTAGTCTCGTATTATTTCGATAAAGTTTAAGTGGGTAGAGATTATAAGTTTCACCATTCGAATCTATTCTTTAAAAAAAAAAAAATGGTGTAAGTTCTTTTGCTTATGTAACTATCCTAAGGGTATGTTGATGCTAATTTCAGGCTTGGAGGGGTCTTTGTGATCAGACGTTGATGTATTCTGAGTTTATCTTTACACTTCTGTTGTAATGTCTACTTTGTCTTGATAAGTGTAGATACAAAAACTTTATTATGAAGTTTTGGTAAATTTCTCTATTTGTTTGTGTTGAAATCTTACCACTTGTGTATTTAATAAATTTTTTATTTTAAGTGGTAAATTTTCTTTATAAAGATTGAGAATTACTTTATTCCAAATAAGGGGCAAGATTCTAGTAAAATAATAATTCATCTATTAATACATTGTATAAACTTCATTAATACTACAAGTTTAGATATTATAAAAAGAAAAATGATTTAACAAGTAAGGCACGTGAAGATTTAGAGCGTTTTATATAGGCTCAAACTACAAGAGGAGAAACCCTTTTGCTTGACTTCCGGCTGCTGCAACTCATCTCTTGTCTCCCTTTGGCTTATATACTTGAAGCTTCCTTCATTAGTTTAACAAAACCCCCCATTAAAGTACTCATGGGAAACATTAATGAGATATTATTTTGCATGGATTAACCCCCCAAGGCAGAGGCAATTATAACACTTCACATGACGCTCATTTGTTTCTCATTCAATGTCATACAGTACCAAAAGTACAAAATCTATCTTTCATAATCTTCAACATTATGATGGGTTTCTCATTTCTCTTCTTCCTCTTCTTCTTCTATCTTACTCTATTACTTGTCTTTTTACATCTTTAATTGCCAAGATGTTTATGGGTTTTCTCTCGAATTTTGAAGTTGCTAACCAACACAGACAACCATGAATAATAATGAGAGTTGTGGAATGAAATTGTGGTGGAGACGTGGAGATATTATAGCCTGAAAAAGAGGGATTAATCCAAGAAAGCATCAAAATCAGAAAGTTCGATATCAGTGGGAGAAAAGCTTTCCCTTTTTCTTATCTACTTTTAAGGCAATTATACAAAAATGGGACCGTGAATTCACATTCAAACCCTTAACGGACAAAACTCCTGCTCCTGCAATTACACACACATATACATCTCTCTCTCTCTCTCTCTCTCTCTCTCTCTCTCCATGTGTTCCTTTGAAAAGTAATAGAGCCTAAAAATCTCAAAAACCCACTTCTATGGATAATAATAATCATAATCATTACATCCCTTTACGACCTGGATAATCAACAAGGAGGCAGAAAGAACCCATAAACAAACACGAAGAACAGTATATATATATAAATATATAATCAATCCTCCTATAAGTTACAATCGGCTGCACAGAAACTATCTCTATCTCTATCTCTCATTTTCAATTGCAACACGGGTGTTTCTTTTCTTCTCTTTTCTTATGTTATTTCGCATCAACAGGTCGCTCACTAACGAGGGGCATAAAAAATAAAGTTTCATTAAAAAAATGAAAAGGGAAAGAAACAGATACGAGAAGACAAATTAATCCATCAGATCACAAGGTTCGAGATGACTGATCAGAAATATCCCTCAAGTTGTACAATCAAAAATGTAACAGCAGAAATCGGTACATACCCAAATAAGAATCTGCAGGTTAGAGGCTGAGAGAGTAAGAAGAAGCAGTGAAACTCAGGATGGATAGCGCAAATGAAGATCAAGATTCAAGACCCGCCATGGCGCTATCCCTCCTGAGCTTAACAGATTCTTCTCTACTTTTTCTTAATTCTATATCATCATCCTCAACACAGAGAAACCTAAGAGAGTGAAAAGAGTTTGTTGAGAGAGAAGTGGGGAAGAGGTAATGGCAGAGCAGGTGTATTTATAGCAGTTGGGTAAGGGGAACGTGGAGAAGACGGAGGTTGGGTTATATATGCAGACAAACGTCACCTCTCCTCTCTTCTGGAGCCATGAGAATTGAAAAGTTGGGCTAATATTTTAACTCTTTAATTTGACAATGTGCTTGACTGCCTTTTTTTAAATGTATTTTGTTTGTCATTGCCGACTACGGTATATGTATGTATAGGAATTTGGCGTTACCGTATTTTCTTACTATTTTTTTTTTATTTTTATATAATTTTAAACCTTTTATCTTTCTTTGATTAATACGTTATTAATTATTAATTATTATTACATAATTTATTAGCTGTCGGATGGATATTTGAAATTCAAATTTTTGAATCAAGAATATGTATCAAATTAAATTACAAAACTCGAAATTATTATTCATTAGTTAAAGTTTATTCTTAATTATATATAAATTTTAAAGAAAATATAAA